TACGTATTGGGTTCAGACATTTAATATTCTTTTGTAACACCTAATTATCATAAATTTATTGTTACTGTTCACTGCAAATTGTATTTGAGTGCATTAATATATCCATAACTAGGCAAGAAACGGTTTAACTTAATTATCTAAGATCTTAAGACAACCAAAAATCAACATCAGTATCATCATCTTTATGAATAAAAAAAATAAACTGTTTTTTGCCACAACTATTTTTAGTCTAAAAACTATTCCATCTCAATATTTTATGCGATTCGCTTCAAATTGTCCTATTAATTGTAATATAAATGCATGTTGCTATGGAGCAACTCCGTGTCATATTGTATAAGCCGATTTTTTTTTTGAATTGCAAGGCATTGTTATTTTCAAAAGGGACAATTTACAAATATCATTGATATTTGTAAATTCACGAGAGATGACATTAAAACTTTGAGTATGAATACTCAAAGCATTAAAATGTTATCCTATTTTATAGAAGTCACTCAGGGGCTAAGCGTTTGCCGTAAGTTTCTGAAAATTAATTTCAGAATTCAGATTTGATCACCGCCGATACCAACGATATTAATAAATTCAATTTAAGATGCCAATCCACCATGTTTTTTTATAGAAGGAAATGAGCATGCGGCACATCTGATTGCGCAACAACTGTTACGTCAGGAGAATTGTAGGCTCGTTACCAGCCTTTTAAAAAGGAGGAAGCGCGTTTCTTGAAGATCCTGAGCAAGTAAGAAAACTGGTAAATCGTGCAGCAGTCGCTAAATATTGATAGTATCTATAAGTAACCAACTACAATTAGATAGACATTGTGATACGCTTAACTTTCCCGCTTCAGCCTTTGAAAAGCTCACTGCTCAACATAGTCCTCCCTCACAAACTGCCCTCAGCTTACCTGTTTAGCAGGCGCGATAGAAACTACAGATGCCTATTTAATTTTTTTTACGTGTACAAAACCTTCCTTTACTTGTACAAAACATTTTGCTATATTCTCCATCTGTCAAAAATTTATATATCATATTTATTAAATAAATCTGTGGCAGCGAGTGAAACGAACTTTCATCATTGGGATATTACGCCAACCAATTAATTATTAAAATCACGCCCGGTGCCACAAACGCGAAACAATAACTCTACTTGTTGAACTGAAATTATTACGGTTTTAATATATATGCGAATTATTGATCAATGAAATCTGTTTAATTATTTTATATGAAGTTTTATTTTTTAACCTAAAAAGACTTACGTCCCATCTTTCCACCTTAAAATAACCAAATCAAATCAAATCAAATCAAACTCATTTATTTGCATAATACAGATATAAGAGTTGTTACAAAAAAAAATAGAATATGTACAATGTATTATTACCTTATGAGGTGTACAAATACTTTACAATATAGTCTACGCATTACTAATTCAATAATGGTGCTTTGAAATAAAATTAAGAATAAGAAAAAAATATTGTCAATAGTTGAGTCTATAGTGCTAATTGTTGTCATACTAAATACCTTGATATTATATAAACTCGAAATTAAATATTTTTGATAATACGAATAATCAAATCCAAAATGTTGTCATACAAAATTTAAGTTGAATTATAATTAATATACTAATCTTATTAAATTGTTACAATGTGTCACATATATTAGGTAAATGTATAAATTACTATTATTCAGTTATAATTAAATTCAAATTATTATTATTAAGTTACAATTAAATTAAAACTATTGCTATTAAATTATAATACTTTTGTCCTGTAGGTACTCTTTGACTTTATAATAACATTTATTAATCAGAAATTTGTGTAATATCGTCTTAAATCGTGAGATAGGCAACTTTCTGACATCATCTGGCAGTTTGTTGTGAATCAGTGATGCCATACAAAGAATACTTTTATTGAGTAGTGCTGTATCTCCATACGGTATTTTTATGTCTAATCTTTTTTTGTCGCGTAACTGTCTATAGTAGCTTTTAAAAGCAGTCTTCTGGTAAAAATTTGGATTTGATTTCACAAATAGATTTATTTCGTAGATATACATCGAAGGCAATGTCAGAATTTTTAAGTGTTTAAAATATGGTTGACAGCTTGTAGTATTATCCAGATGGCACATTGCTCTGATGCATTTCTTTTGAGCTTTGAATGCAGATTCTTTATTTACCGAGTTGCCCCAAAATATTACACCATATTTTAGGATAGGTGCAACAAGTCCGTGATAGGCTAATAAAACGGCTTCTTTATTGACAATCTTGGAGAGTTTGTAAAGAGCAAACGAGGATTGATTAACTGTTTTGCAGACATTATCTAGATGTGTTTTCCATGATAAGTCATAGTCAATGTTAATTCCTAGAAATTTTGTATTTTTCACTTACATGTATAGTTATGGGTTGTGTTCTTTGATAAAAGTGCATTATTTTTGTTTTGTCCATATTTATTTTAAGATTGTTTTTTAGGAACCATTGAATTATTGTATTTAATGTTTTACTGATTTCATTTTCGTAATTGTCTACGTCTAAGTGTATTTTTTTGCAGATGATGCACAGTTGTGATAGGCAACATTTTATCATTACTGTGCTATCATCTGCAAAAAGTACCATTGGATGTACAATATGTCTAGGGAGATCATTTATATATACCAGAAATAGTAAGGGACCTAGGACACTACCTTGTGGGACTCCGAATTTTATGGTTCTAGTGTTAGATCTATATTTGATTTCATTTCGTGTTTTCTGGCACATTTGTGTAATTTCTGTTATTTGTTTTCTATTGAACATATAAGAGGAAATGAGGTCTAGCGCATTACCTCTTATGCCATACCAGCTAAGTTTCTGAAAAAGTATCTTATGGTCAAGACGGTCAAAAGCCTTGCTTATATCCATAAAGACAGCACATATCGGATTTCTTTTATCCATGCTGATTAAAATCGTTTTAATTAAGTTATAAATACGGTGCTGTATTTATAGATTTACCCTTGCGAAATCCTTTTTGTTCATTTACCAAAATATTATACTTTTCTAAATAACTGTATAGTCTATTATATATTACTTTTTCAAATAATTTTGAAAAAATAGATATCAATGTTATCGGTCTATAGTTTCCCATATTTTTTGTCATCTTTTTTTGTGGAGTGGAATAACAATAGAAGTTTTAAGTTTTTCGGGGTATATTCCGTTAGAAATGCATAAATTTATTATGTAGCATAAGTGAGAAGCGATTGACGAGGACACATACTTTTTTACTTTAGGGAAAACACTATCGTAACCCACACTTTGAGTATTTTTCAGTTGTTTTATTTCTCTATCCACCTCCATAGGCATTGTAGGTACAAGAAAAACTGAATTTACGTTAGTATTAATTTTGGGATTTGAGTGTGTTAGGTCGTTATTTTTTGATTTATTTTTATGCTCCCATTCTTTTATTTGGTCAAAAAAAAGTCGTTAAAGTGATTCGCAATAGATATAGGATCTCTAATTTTGATATCGTCGTTAAATATTTCCGTAATAGGCTCTTTGGGAAATTTAAATTTAGTCTTGTTTATAACTGACCATGTTGTTTTTGATTTGTTTTGTGATGTACTTATGTAGTAGTTATTTTGTGACTTTTGCGTAGTGATGTAATTTTTTTTAAACTTAGAGGCGTATTGCTTGAATTTGTGTTTATTTGATCTTGTTGGATGAGTCCTATACTGCCATAATAATTTTCTTTTCATTTTACTACAAATTTTGATACCTTTTGATATCCATTTTGACTTTTTATGTAACGTTCTAGTTATTATTTTGTATGGAAAACATAGATTATAAAAACAAAGGAAGAGTTCTAGAAAACGATTATAAGCTTCTTCATGGTCGTTTGTGTGATAAATATTAGAAAAAGTTAAGTTGTTCATACAATTTTTGAATTTTATGAGATTTTCCTTACTATAATCACGTCTTCTAATACGCCAAGATTTTATCACGCATGTTTTTTGACTGGACATTATAAAATTTGAGCTGTGTGATCTGATAGTCCAAATTCAATAACTTCACTTTTACATTTATGAATACTGTGAGCAAAGTTATCAAGACATGTGTTACTACTAAGTCTAGTAGGCTCTTTAATTTCTAGTTTTAAATTATGACTTTGTAAAATATATTCAAAATCTAGCACTCGCTGGTTTCTTTTCAGTATATTTATATTAAAGTCGCCGCATAAAACAATTTTCTTATTAGTATTATCACATATTTGGCGTAATAACGTGTCTAAATTATTGAAAAATACGTTTATACAAAAATTAGGTAACCTGTATATACAAACTATTATCAGTCCATCAAGACTTAGTTCTATATCGCTACATTCTATTACGCCTTTAACTGTACAATTAGTTTTTAATACTTTATATTGATGACCAATTCTAGCACTCTGCTCTTTAGAAACTTGTTGCTAGGCGGAAATTGGGTATATCAAGTATGCTCTCTTGGTCTGGTGTCATAAAATGTTCGGTTAAACATATTACGTCTACAACTTTGTTATTTTGTGCCAATTCTTCTAAATGTACCGTCAGAGTGTCAGATTTATTTATAAGACCTGCTATATTTTGGTGTAAAATTTGAATATTATTATAAAAGAAAAAACTGTGAGCTTTGTCCGCTTGTGTCACTGGGTAGGTCAGGGAATAATTCTAAGTCAATTTTTCTTTTTGTCCTGTTTTTTTGCTGTAGAGGGGGTGAATATTTATGGTATTGTAGGTCCATACAGAGCAGACTATTAAACATTTCAATCTTAAAGTTATGTATTGGTGCTCCCCGTATATACGTGGGTGTGCATATTATTATATTTGTATGGGTCACCTGTGTCAAACTATCGTTAATTTCTTTTACTAAATTAATATAATTGTCGTAACGTTTAAAGTCTGTCTCCCCTAATAAAATTATACAATAATCCTTCATATTAAAATATCTTAATTTTGATTTTATACCAGCTAAAAGTTGATTTATATTACAATTTGGTGAAGAGTAATTACAGTATATAAAGTCACTTGCACAATTGTCTTCAATAGCCTGTAGTATGCCTCTTCGAGTGCTGTTGCTTAGTACGCATAATTTTCTATGTTTGATATCTTTACGAACATCCGTTGTAGTAACTTTCTTCAAAGGTGCGATGTCCTTCTCTGGTGTTGAGATTTTTTTCAGTGGAGATAATTTTGTGTCATTTAGTGGCATATTCAGTTTAGATATTTGCGGCTGTGTCTTCGGATTCTGTGTCGAACAATCTTCGTTTACTGGCTCTGGAATCCTTTCGGCCTCAGGTGTATTTTCGGCTGATTTAACTGTCGCTTCATTATTCATAATTCGTGCTGAAGGAGCCATTACCTGTATGCTTTTTGTTACAGGTGTTACAGCGATATTTCGGGTTTGTTTGTATTTTCGTCCAGATCGCGGAGTAAGTTTTTTATTCTCTCTAAGGTTTAAGCTTTTGTAGGTTTCTACGATCTTCAAATATTTCTGTAAATCTGATTTCAGACGAAAATTCTCGCTATTCAGATTTTCAATCTCATGGTGTGCTATTTGTAAATCGTCAGACAATTTTGTAATTTTTTCGTTCAATTCGAGTATGGTTTGGCTAGGATTTAGCGTAGTGTTAGGCAAACTTGAAATAGTTGTATCAAAAAGTGCCGAATTATCTGAGTCTACATCGGTTAATGAATTTCTTCGGTATTGGATACGGTATGTTATATTGTCACATTCCTCCATTTTATGTAATATATTTTTTAACCAGATTTTTTGTTTGTATATAGAAAGTAGTCAGAGTAGTCTCAAAGGACTAGCATCCAATTTAAAACTTGTTATCTGTGCGGTTTTCGAACGACGATTAATCTGTTAGAGATTATGCGTTGATCTGTGAAATGAGTCAGCTGTTCTTTGTTTACATAGAAACATTTGTCGACCTTATAATTCACAACATATGTTCTAAATTCTTTGGGACATTGTTTTATATCATTATTATATTGTAAATAGTTTAATGAAAACCTGCAATTCTTATGTCGTCCAATTACTTCTTTCGATTAAATGTGGTTTTGATACACTTTATCACTTTTTTTGCTAATAAAATACTCCCAACTTTGTTATACACAAAAATGAAAATAAGTCCGTTCACACTAATCACTTTTACTGGACAACGTTTGTAATTTTTATTTTCACAATTATAAACTAACTTAACTGTGAAACAACAAAAATAAATTACATCTATTATTTTTTAAATTGATAATATTACGGAGACGATGTTAACGTGACAGCAGCGTTTTTAGTGTACATGCGTCATCATAGCGTAACAAGAGACGCGAGTCCAGGGCTTTCGTCTTAGTGGGGCTCACGAAATTTTGGATACCATTACTATTTCAAGGTATCAAAAGACTGCTAAATCTAGGCCTCTCCCACAGATTGCCTCATAGTTGGGATTTTGTCATAGTAGCCACGTGTGACATGTGAGTAGACAACCGCAGTTTTCTTATTGTTGTTATTAGGTAGACGCTGCTGGCCATCTCCTTGTTTGTTTTCCTCTGTTAACTCTTACGACACCCTCGGGACGATAATATGGGGTAAGAGCATAATCTTACACCGCTACTAAACAGTTAATGTTGAATACATTTTAAACTCAAAACACATTATTTTTTCTTGTACATTACGTTTTATCTACTACTTTGTCTTCTTAATATTATTGTTAAGAAACATGAAAACTTACATTACAGTAATACCTTAACGTAAGTCTCTCAAGTATAATTTCTAACAAATCGTTTGCTACAAATGGGTCAATTATGATTTTCTTCTTTGTTTTTTCTTATTCCAGACATTTTCTTAATTACTCTCTTAATTTATCAAAATGAAACGGAAACGGAAATGAACTCTTGATAAAATTTTTAAAGCAACAATAAAATACACCGACAGAACTTGTAGCTCTCAGGTACATATTCTTCTTCAAAGGACCTTAAATTAATGTCTTTTTTAAGTGCAAGGGATTCCCGTTTATAGCCGCGCATGGACGCACCATGGCTTTAGTTGTGTCGTTTCATTTAACGATGCGTTCGTTTCCACTTAATATTATGCAATGTGTGAAATTATTTCTATATTACGACGGCTATCTCTGTAGGTTAAAGAGTGGTTTTTGTTAAACGATGATGTTATACAACGAATGTTTTTATAGAATAAGGGTGAGAAACGAGTCAATCCAGCTGATGATGTCAGAGCGTAGTCCTACCCCAGTCATGGGGGCCCATTAAATCTGCGTATTATATTTAAAGAAAAAATATATTTTATTGAATTGGCTTCATAGAAGTTGGATTCTTATGCTCATATCTTTTTCATTCGGGCACAACACAACAACGATATAGTTAATAACTTATTAATAAATATACAAAAATGTCCTATGCCTTTTCAAAATCATTTTATTATAATCGCAGTGATGTCACGAGCAACATGGCGGATACATAGCTTAAATGAGATTTCATTTAACCTATGACAATTCAAAACGATAAATTAAAAGTAATTTAGTGCCATGAACACTATTCGGGCTTAAACATTTACATAAAAAATAAAGTAGTTCATTATAACTCCATGATTCATAAAAATAAAGTTACTGCCTATATACGACCCACTGCTGGGCACAGGCCTATGACAATATAACCTATGACAATTCAAAACGATAAATTAAAAGTAATTTAGTGCCGTGAGCACTATTCGGGCTTAAACATTTATATAAAAATTAAAGTAGTTCATTATAACTCCACGATTCATAAAGAAGTTACTGCCTATGTACGACCCACTGCTGGGCACAGGCCTCCTCTCATTTCTGAAATGCGTGTTGGCGAACTTCACATGTCATCGAAATATTTTTTTATTCCTCAGACATGAAGGTTACCACACTATGTTTCCCTTCACCGCCGAACACGTGGTATATGAGCACTTAAAATTGCAATTATTGTCAATAATAATTCATTGGTGCCGGCGAAGATCGAACCCGTCTTGCTCGCGTTCTGTGAAATTTACAGCGAGTGCTAACCATCTGAGCTACCACGGATCTTATATTCATATAAAACCCTATTTGAACATAGCGTAATATACTACTATTTATTGCTTTGTTTTGTTTAATTAATTTTATATCAGACCTAAAGCCCACCTGATGGTAGGTGGCTATTGCATCTCTTAAACACCTGGACATTTTTTTATAAAATAAGGTGACAAATGAGCACACAAGCCATCAGATGGTAACTGGCTGCTGTGGCCCATAGACATCTACATCTATCCTCAATTACGAATCAAAATGCAGATGCGTTGTCACCCGTGAGGACTTAGGTGGAATGCCTCGTTTCCAGTAAAAATGGGTCTCCGGTTCTCTACACTCACCATACGAAACACAGCAGCATTAAGCTACTATTTGACGCTGGTATTCTGTGAGAGCGTGGTCCCTCCCCGGTCGAGCTGACCCATTCGTGCTACAACTATACTACTAATATAACTGCAGCATGGCTCTACCACGTAAAAAATGATTTCACACCAACAAGGCTACAGACGCGTTGTCATATCTGAGAACTAAGATCGAATGCCTCACTGCCTGTAATTGTACTGGCTCTCTGTACCCTTCAGATCAGAACACAGTAGTGCAGACACTGCTAAGGACTAAGAACGAATGCCTCACAGCCTGTAATTGTACTGGTTCTCTGCACCCTTCAAATGAGAACACAGTAGTTCAGACACTGCTAAGGACTAAGAACGAATGCCTCACAGCCTGTAATTGTACTGGTTCTCTGCACCCTCCAGATCAGAACACAGTAGTTCAGACACTGCTAAGGACTAAGAACGAATGCCTCACAGCCTGTAATTGTACTGGTTCTCTGCACCCTTCAGATCAGAACACAGTAGTTCAGACACTGCTAAGGACTAAGAACAAATGCCTCACAGCCTGTAATTGTACTGGTTCTCTGCACCCTTCAGATCAGAACACAGTAGTTCAGACACTGCTAAGGACTAAGAACGAATGCCTCACTGCCTGTAATTGTACTGGTTCTCTGCACCCTTCAAATCAGAACACAGTAGTTCAGACACTGCTAAGGACTAAGAACGAATGCCTCACAGCCTGTAATTGTACTGGTTCTCTGCACCCTTCAAATCAGAACACAGTAGTTCAGACACTGCTAAGGACTAAGAACGAATGCCTCACAGCCTGTAATTGTACTGGTTCTCTGCACCCTTCAGATCAGAACACAGTAGTGCAGACACTGCTAAGGACTAAGAACGAATGCCTCACTGCCTGTAATTGTACTGGTTCTCTGCACCCTTCAGATCAGAACACAGTAGTTCAGACACTGCTAAGGACTAAGAACGAATACCTCACAGCCTGTAATTGTACTGGTTCTCTGCACCCTTCAAATCAGAACACAGTAGTTCAGACACTGCTAAGGACTAAGAACGAATGCCTCACAGCCTGTAATTGTACTGGTTCTCTGCACCCTTCAGATCAGAACACAGTAGTGCAGACACTGCTAAGGACTAAGATGTAATGCCTCACAACGTGCAATTCTACTGGCTCTCTATACCCTTCAGATCAGAACACAGTAGTGCAGACACTGCCAAGGACTAAGGTGTAATGCCTCACTGCTTGTAATTGTACTGGCTCTCTGTACCCTTCAGATCAGAACACAGTAGTGCAGACACTGCTAAGGACTAAGAACGAATGCCTCACAGCCTGTAATTGTACTGGTTCTCTGCACCCTTCAAATCAGAACACAGTAGTGCAGACACTGCTAAGGACTAAGATGTAATGCCTCACAACCTGTAATTGTACTGGCTCTCTGTACCCTTCAGATCAGAACACAGTAGTGCAGACACTGCTAAGGACTAAGGTGTAATGCCTCACTGCCTGTAATTGTACTGGCTCTCTGTACCCTTCAGATCAGAACACAGTAGTGCAGACACTGCTAAGGACTAAGAACGAATGCCTCACTGCCTGTAATTGTACTGGTTCTCTGCACCCTTCAGATCAGAACACAGTAGTGCAGACACTGCTAAGGACTAAGATGTAATGCCTCACAACCTGTAATTATACTGGCTCTCTGTACCCTTCAGATCAGAACACAGTAGTGCAGACACTGCCAAGGACTAAGGTGTAATGCCTCACTGCCTGTAATTGTACTGGCTCTCTGTACCCTTCAGATCAGAACACAGTAGTGCAGACACTGCCAAGGACTAAGGTGTAATGCCTCACTGCCTGTAATTGTACTGGCTCTCTGTACCCTTCAGATCAGAACACAGTAGTGCAGACACTGCTAAGGACTAAGAACGAATGCCCCACTGCCTGTAATTTTACTGGTTCTCTGCACCCTTCAGATCAGAACACAGTAGTGCAGACACTGCTAAGGACTAAGATGTAATGCCTCACAACCTGTAATTGTACTGGCTCTCTGTACCCTTCAGATCAGAACACAGTAGTGCAGACACTGCCAAGGACTAAGGTATAATGCCTCACTGCCTGTAATTGTACTGGCTCTCTGTACCCTTCAGATCAGAACACAGTAGTGCAGACACTGCTAAGGACTAAGATGTAATGCCTCACAGCCTGTAATTGTACTGGCTCTCTGTACCCTTCAGATCAGAACACAGTAGTGCAGACACTGCCAAGGACTAAGGTGTAATGCCTCACTGCCTGTAATTGTACTGGCTCTCTGTACCCTTCAGATCAGAACACAGTAGTGCAGACACTG